GAAGAGTTCGCCTCACTGGTTGCTGGTTGCGCCTGTGCAAGCCATGACGCCCTCCAAGAGGTCATGAAAGAACTGGACACAAAAGGCTGCCCAAAGTAAAGCACTGCTGATGTGGAAAGAAACCCAAAATAGGCCTTCCCTGGATTCACATCAAAACAATAAAGTTACTCAAAGTCAAAGATTGTGCTGTTTTTTCTTTAACTTGATATGTCTTAGGGATGCATAGAAATGTTTGCTAGTTGCCTATTCACACCTCTGAACTAGTTGTTTCATGTTAGGATATACCCTTATTGCCTGCTTTTCTCACTTTACCCTTATAATAGGGTTTGAAATAAACCCTATTATAAGGTTAATGTAAAGGATTACTATTGCAAAAAGGTAATTAGATTACGGTTACTTCCCTGTTCTCTTCCACTCTATACAGCAATAACTGATATAGATATGCTTCTGCCATAATATGTTTATAAACCCTGCCTGGAAATGTTCACGTTTTCAGAAAAATTGGAGATTAAAAGAAATTTACTGTCTCTTTATCTGAACAAGCATTTTAAATGGTCTTCAGTTAATAGGTACGCTTCATCAGACACTAGAAGGCAATAAATTAGTTGCCCTCTAAATTGTTTATTACCATTAGTAGTAACCAGGTAGTCTCAGTGTGCATTCCTTGAGGTGCTATTATCTTTAAGAAAATAAATAAATAAATGAACAAGGATAAGTCTTTAAAACACAAAGCTTTCTTTATTTGGAAAAGCTTATACAACATTGAAGGTTACAGTAGTGGAATGAGGAAACTTTGATAATTGTGACAGACATGGGAATAGATGCTCAAGAGTTCCCTCTGCTGGTGAGGAATATTTCATTGTGGTCTGACATGTTTTCAGTTTGATGGAAACTCAGTTTACAGCCCACATCAATGCTTCCGTGAGTAGCAGACCGGACATATGACTACATTGGTAAAACTGATTCAAGAAATCACTACTAAAGGAGTCTGATAATAAGAAGAGAACTG